TATATCTGTAAGGCATAATGAAAGGTAAATATTTCTTCTCGTACTTTAGAAGATTGATATTGTTTTTCTATTTATCAATGCTAAAACCAACAATTTACATTGTGTTGGATCTCATTTAATCCTTTATTCGAATAATTAATAACCTAAATGAGTTATTTCAAAATTTGTATGAGTCAATGACTACTTTGACTCATAACCTGCTTAAATATGCATTTTCTTATGCATTTATTAGATGCAATCTAATATTTTCTATCTCATTTTTATAGCGAGTTTCCATGTTAAAAAAAACATTGAAGGTACCTTGGTGGACAATGGTGTCCTCACATTGTGAGTGTTCGGGGAAGCCCCACAAAGGTATATAAGGCCATTGTTGTTACTTTGACAAGAGGCTGCTCACCAGATTCAAACTCATAACATGACTCCATTCTATGTGAGGACATGAGTACAATTGTTTCAATCATAACTGATTTTAAGGAATTACTTCGATAAATATATTCCTTAATTTATTGTACATCACCACAATGTGTTAAAACACCTATTTATCACAGATTTCAATAATTTACAAATGTCACCCATATACCTTAGAGTGCTATGACCCCAAGTTGACTGTGGTACATATCATTCTACTATTTTGTGGATATATTCCTTTTTATCCATTCTTTTATGAATAAAATTCATAGATATGCATGTATGAATTCGAATGCATAAACATCTCAAATATAATTTCAGATAGAACAATGAGATGTTAAATTAATTAAAAATCTCAAACGAATATAATTTATACCAAACTTTAAGACTTGAATAAAAGTCTAATTAGAAGTAGTAATGTTCATATTTATAAACCTCATGAAAGAGTAAAATAAAAAATGGATAAACCCAACAATTAGAGAATGTTCTTATTCTCAAAATATTAGACAATCATGAAACTTAATTCATATTCTCATGCAGTGAATCTCTTGTTCTTTAGAGATTCTACGAAGATAAAAACTAAAACTATATTTTCAAGTTATATATATCCTGACGAGATAATCACATTTAATCCTCTTATATTAAGGGATTTACTTTAAAATTTATGTTTTCAATTTTTTTTTTATTTGGAAATTTCTTTATCCAAATAACTCTTGGGAGGTTTCTTTATCCCCCCAAAAATATTGTAATTGCATTTCAAAAAAAAGACACAATAACAATAAACATCATTCACTAGTGCAAGCTAAAAGCTAGTTAGTTACATAATTATTTAATATATACTGGTGCATTAGTATATGTCTAGAGAAGTATGTGTAAAAATGGTTAATTTTTTTCCATCAAATTAAATAAGCTTTTGTGATTTGCTTTTCACAAAGTGTGACGGAGTAGCATTGAATTCTAAAATAAGCATTCAATATACTCAAATTCATTTGAGTGCATAATGTAGAAAACTGAATAATGTGCCGGAGTGCATAATTTTTTTCTATCCGGTCTAATTGATTGGTCAATTAAATTTGCAGAGCTTTGTGTTAAAATTCTCTATCACACAAATAATTAATATAGAAAACTGAATAATGGTACTCAAAACCTTCTGAGGCCAAAATGCCAAATACAAGTTGAGATGGTTAAACATCTTTAAAAAAATTACATGATCATGAGTACATTCATGAACTTGTGTAGTTCATATGATATAAAACAGAAACTTGTGTATAAACAAAATCGATTCTTTGTGTGAAAATTCTTTATCACAAAAAAATACTTCCTCCGGTTCTTATTTAAGTTCCCTGTTTGACTTCACACATATTAAGAAAATGAATTTGACTTTACTGTGGAGTGCACTGTTTGGCACTATTTGGCACTGTTTGGACACTGTTTGGCACTGTTTGGCACTGTTTTGTTTCCTAAAATGGAAATGTGAATTGAAATAAGGGACATCCCAAAAAGGAAAGTGGGAACTTTAATAAGAACCGGATTGAGTAATCATGAGGGTATGTCTCTTTGTAGACAATATTTTACAATGCATCGAAGCGAGGAGATATATATTCACCTCCTTAAAAAATCATAGAAATTTTTATAGGATGTTATATGGTGTTTTTAATATAGAAAGTATTAATATTGGTCTAATGTTTCAACTATATGTAAGTGACATATAGCATTACGGAAAATTATAATCACATAATATGTATAAAATAATTAAAAAGTGCATAATATGATTTTAATTCCAACTATATGTATCTAACATATAGCTTTACGGAAAGTATAATCATATAATCATATAAAATACATGAAAATAAGATTAATCGTGTGATCTTTGATTCCAACTATATGTATATGGCATATAGTTTTACGAGAAAGTATGATCACATGGATGTATAAAAACGAAGATGGATGCATAATGTGATATTGATTCCAACTATATGATTATAACATATAACATTACGGAATTATAATAAAAAATTGCATCTATCTCTCAAACAAAAAATGGATGAGGCATATCATCAAACACTTGGTGTGCAAGAAATGGATCTAAAAAAAATGAAAACTTAATCTCAAAAAAAAATCAATGATGTTCATCACAATGGAAAACAAGATGCAATAAATCATATACATAAGATTCTGCAATGATTTTTGAATAAAAAATACATCAACAGAGATCCGGGAATTGGTGAGTCGCAGGCTAGGAAGGGGGGAGGCCGGGCGACGGTCGGTGCGTTGGGAGGCGGCCATGCGTGGCTGGATTGCTGGCGGCGCGGCTGGACTGCTGGAGGCGCGGCTGCGGATTGAGTGTAGGGAGAACGGGAGAAAAAAATAGGTTTAGGACTACGTGCTGATAACGTGTTGTAGGGAAGTGAGAGAAGTGTGTTCATTCCATTAGTAAGCCCCATTTAAATAGGAGGGATTAGTGTTTTATAAGGAATGAGCCAATGGCCAATTAGCTCAATACATATATCCCTAGATACAATTTCCTTCAACAAAACCCGATTTTGTTCATTCCTACAATTAACGAATGCACATTAAAGTAATTTCCTTCAACAAAAACCCGATTTTGACAATTTGTAATGAGATGAATTGAACAATATTTTCTTAAAAAAAATAAATTTCATAAAATAATAGCGTAAAATGTAGTCAAAGTAGAGCATGTGAATAGCGTAAAATTCAACATGTTGCGATTAAATAAATATAGGAGACCCTATGAGCTCATGTAGCACCATGGGTCAAAAATAAATCAAACGGGTTGTGCCATTGGCCATTACCACATGCTCATCTGAACACCTCCCAATATAAGACATCGGATTTTTTGAGTTTAATATAAGTAGTATATATGTTTAATTATATAAACTTTAATAGTCATAAGTCATACCCTGTAGTAGGCTATATTTTAGGGGTTGTTCGATAAACTACAAATGTTAATTATTTACCAAGTATATATGATGCTTTAATCTTTTGTGTTCATAGTTAATTGCTTATAGATCGAGATGTTTGAAAATCATATACCCATAGGCATATAGTTGTTTGATGTATAAATTGTTACCATGAAAGTCCTATCATATACTTCATTCGTCTCATTCTAACGTTCTCACTTTTCTTTTATGGACGTCACATATAAAAGTTCACATTTCTAGTTTAGAAAACGATTAACACTCTTAAATGACAATTTGATCGTCAAATGCTAAAAATATTATATCTAGAACATCACAATTATCATCAATGACTTCATTATATGATATAATATTCATCAAAATTATTTAACAAAGTTACTCAAATTATCTCATTTAATTATTGTTAAAATAATCGTATCATTTTGAAATGGGAACCTTTAACGAGAGAGATGAGACAGTGCCTCAGATCTAGCATCAAAAAGTAAAGATCATTTTAAAAGAATATTTTAGAAGTGACATCTCTTTTGTTGTATGTATGGAAGTTAAGATAGTAACAATTATATATTCTTGAACTCTATTATGTTGTGAACCTGAATTTCTCACATTGCTCGCACACAAGATATCGTGAGTACTTTATAAGCAGAGTCTGAAGCTCTTAATTGTGGACGTCGTGAACTCTGAAATATCAAAGCGGGCGATATCCATAAGTTGTTTATAATAACACGTTATCAGCACGATCCTCGTGATAGGAGGGTGTGTGTTGTGAACTTGAAGTTCTCTCATCGCTCGCACACGAGATAGCTAGTGTGCGTGCTTATAAGTAGGGTCTTAAGCTCTTACTTGTAGACGCATTTTAAAGTCATGAGGTCTAGAAGTATTATATAAAGTTATCGCTTTTTTTTGTATCGAATTGATAAAAATGGGAAGCTGAGATCCATTAGGCCTTATTTGGTTGGAGGGTTTCGGAGGGAGGGGAGGGAGGTGAGGTATTTGTGTGTGTTTGGTTGAAGGAAATAGGGGGGAAGATGAGGAAAGTGGAAGACTTCTAAAATCCTCCACTTCCTCCCATTCTAAACCCCCCAAATCGGAGTATTTCGTAGGAAACATGTTGATAACCACAATTTATCCACCTCCTACGTGAATGGACAAAACGTTATAATATAAAAAGGCAAACAAAAAAAAGTTTTGAAAAATTAAAAATTTAAAAATTAAAAAATTTAAAGATTAAAAAATTTAAAAATTAAAAATTAAAAATAAAAAATTAAAAAAATTAAAAATTTAAAAATTTAAAAATTTAAAATTTTAAGAATTTTAATAATAAAATATAAAAATAAAAAATTAAAAACTAAAAAATAAAATAATTATAAAATTTAAAAAGTTAAAAATCAAAAAATCAAAAAATAAAATAAAATTATGACTCATGACCATAGGAGTAATATTCACAATAGTTAGACATGTATCTGTTTTTTTTAAGTAAGCTATCAAATAGAGGTAAATTGCGAAAATATTTTCATTAAATAACATTTCCTCCTATTTCCTCCAACCAAACACAAATTTTTATCAAAAATCTTCCTTCCCCTTCCCTCCCCTTCCCTCCTTGACCCCCCTTCCCTCCCCTCCTTTGAACCAAACAAGGCCTTGAATATTTGTTCAAAGATATATAGCTTAGTGTTTTAAATATATATTTTGATATTGAAGTATATAGATATTAAATTGGTCAATAAGTATAGCAACCACATAATAGATTGTCATGGCGTGCATCACATGAGTCTCAGCATCATCTCTTTATAGGGAGTTCTTCACCAGACAAGAAAGAATGTACGAGAGCCAAAGCTTCACTCGGTTTATAGAGAGGTACAAGATGACCTGCCCCTTTCACGGTCATAAACGTCAACCCTTTGTACTCAACAATCCATCCTGTTACCTGCATTTTTTATAAAGTTACTAAAAAGAAAAAATTACGTATTTATGACTAAAATAAATACTGTTTACAAAAATGCATATGATATCTGATCTTAAGTGTAGTGACAATAATAGTAATTTTAGTCATATTAACTTATATTCAACTTTTAAACATAAGTGAGCACCACACTATGATATTAAAAAAACATTAATTAAACTGGGCTCAAGTTTTTTTGGGGACTTACTTGATTTTTGTGGAACCAAGGGCGCCATATGGATTTGAGAGGCAACTTAAGAGCTTCTATCCAATATCTTGTCCCAAGCACGGGTACATTACCATCAGCATCCCCACTGTTTTAAACAAACAAAACACGAGATGTTTGTTTTTAATTACATAGAATGCAATATTATGCAAAATTACTATGCTACTAGTTGGGCACTGTATATATTTGGCTAATACGGAGTACTATTTATGTCATGAAAAGAGGTTCTTACTTTCCTTTTATGGGTGACTCAAAATGAAGTTCTTATTTCTATAAATTAAAAGGAAATCAATTTTAACCAAAAAGTCACAACTACCATTACTTTTAATCATTTTTTGCTTGATTTGATATAAAATATGAGTATACTTAGAAAGTCAAAACCAAACTCTATCTGCATAAATAATATGTGTGTACGTTGGTCAAACCGGGAACTTCATTTCAGACAGAGGGGGCAATTATATAATTTTCTGCGAGTTTAAGAATATATAAATAGTAGGAATACTAAGGGGGTGTTTGAATGTACTTCTTAAAACTACAAAGGAAACAGAAGCAAATATTGGAGTGTTTTGGTGAAACTGCAAAAATACTTCTGGGTGATCCAAATTGCTCATAGAAGCAATTTTTAAAATTTTTAGAAGCTGGAGTAGACCATCTCTTGAAAAATTGATTTTGATTCTGCTTATGATTTTAAAAAAAGGAGTAGAAACAAAATCTATTTCAAACACCCCCAATTCAGTTAGAAAACAATAAAAAGTATTAGTATGAGAGAAGGGATGGAAACGTATGAAAGAAATACAGTACACAATAAATAAAATGACACAACATGAAGCCAAAATAAAATGTACTAATAACAACTACGAGTATGTCTCTCTTAAAGTCTCAATTACCTGTAAATCCAAATTCTGAGTCCACCTTCTATTAGCTTTTTGTAAACTGGTAGTACCGAGGAGACTGAGTAATTGTATGAGCCAAGTATTGACCGGCTGAAGTGAAAGATGCGAAATAATTTAGATGGGGATAGTTTAAGAATAAAATATCGAAAGAAGATCAAATTAGAGAGATACGGACGGGGTATTAATGAAAGTTATGAAACACTACCTTTTAACTGACACTAGTTAATAGATTAACACTTAAATTGGTTGAATGAGTAATTTTGCTAAATTGATAAAGTTCCTGCTCAAATGATTGAATTCATGAATCTCCTGAATTATGAAAAACTCTATCTAAAATATATTTTGTTAATAAAATAAAGAAAAAATCACATGAAGAATAGTTAAAATAATCCTTTACAGTAACTTCAACCAGTTTAATCAGAAATGTAATCAGATCCTCACTTATTTTGATCATTACACGATTCAGTGTGTGTAAATCAAAGTTGTGTATATGATGAGAAAGATAGTTGATAAGGTTGATTAGTCGAAAAGAGGGTCAAAATGAGCTTTTAGTGTTTTAGTATGATTTGTGGGTCAATGAAAAAATGGGCAACGGAAGTCGCTATGCAAGGAGCTATAGATCATCTAAAGACTCAAGATCGGACTAAATTGATGAGTGATTACATTATTAGGTTTAAAACAACAGTTAGAATGGATTTATGAAAGAAATAAAATAAAAATACACTATAAAGTATCAGAAAAATTTGGTTTTAATCGGGCTATACCCCATCATAGCCCTATGTAGATCCACTTGATTGTTATGAATTGAAGTCAATCTATCACTTTAAATAATAATAAAACAGGAGACTAAAGGATCAAATAGGCCCTCGTAATAATTTAAAAAGTGAAAATCACCTTTTATATAGGAGATTTTGTCCACCCGTCATCATTTGGGGAGGTTCCTGGTGACATTTTTTGATGAAATTTTTTGATAATCTTCTTCATTAAGTCTAGTTTATTCATACCAAATTTCAGCTAAAAATTCAATCGGGGAGACAGTCAAATGAATTTTTGAAGATAACTGTGCAGCTAAACAACGCAGTATATTTCAGAAAATAATTTAACTATCTTCCTGGTTGAATTGTTATCTGAAATTTGGTATGGGTAAACTAGACTTAATGAAGAAGATGCTCAAAAAATTTCATCAAACAATGCCACCAGAAACCACCCCAAATGACGATGTCCGGACAGAGCCTCCTCTATAAGGGGTGATTTGCACTTTTTAAGTTAGTTCGAGGATCTATTTAACCCTTTAGCCTAATAAAATACGTAGTATGATTTTATGGAAGAGGTAATTTGAGTTTGCACCCATTTCAATTAGACTTTGCACAATTTTAAAAAAACTTTGTTTTTGCATCCCCAATCCCAAATGAAAAGATCAAATTGTCCCTCCATTAACAATTTTGTTGACCTTCAACATATTCCTGATTAGGGGCGGAGCTAGGGGGTGCCCAGCCTAGGCCTGACCCATCCCAAATTTAAAAAATGTCAATATTTTTAGTGTAAAAAATTTCATGTAATTTTTTTTCCAATAATATTCTTTGTACCGGCCCAATCTGGCCCAGTGCCCTGGCTCCGCCCCTGTTCCTGATCGAGAACATTTTTATCTTTTCATATGGGATTGTAGTGCAAAAACAAAGATTTTTGAAAACGGGGTGCAAAGTCCAATTTGAACAATAAAATGGAATGCAAACTCAAATTACCCCTTTATGGAACTAGCCTGCATCCCTTCCATGTAAAGTTTTGTTGGGTAATATTCACATGTAAAGCGTTTTGAACGTCAATCCTGTTGAAGTAATCCTCTGCATCTGAGACATAGCAGGCACCGTAAGCCTCGTGGACCATTGGCTTCATCCTCCCCCTTTTATATATCCTTTCCTACATTTCATTGTGACCCTCAAACACAATTAATGACACATTAGGTTTTGATTTAAGAAAAAAAAACATATAAAAGAACATATTAGGTTTTGATTTAAGAGTATATATAGAACATGCATATAAAAAGAACATACTTAAGATTTATTATGATTTGAGAATTGAGATAATCGTATTTATCCTAATTATGACTCGAGAAATTCCTATTTATTCAATTGATTCTCTCTAAATTTAGATAAAGAAGCCCCTTCATTGTAAGGGTATAATTTCACCCAATTGACTTCATTTGATACAGGTAATCCGATTGCTAGTATATACTCCGTGTGTGTGTAGAGAGAAAGTTGTTGATTTAGCCTCTAATTAGTTTGTGAGTTTTATTTGTCCTATATTTTTATTTATTCACAGATCATGTTTTATAATTAATAATTTTATCCAATATAATTGAGTACTTTTTCAACAGAATTAACCATTCTTTGCAAAAAAAATCCAACAAAAGAACATGTGTGTATGAAAATTTCAACTATATACTTCAAATTTCAACCATTCTTAATGTGGATTTTTTTTACTGAAGTGACATGATTCGCAAGTGATCAAATAATTACATGACTAATAGCGAGCACATTTAATAGTTACAAGACTAAATGTGCAATTTTCTCTGTGATATACACATAAATATATGCATTGTTAGTTTTTGATGTGCTTGTTATGAGTCATGTGAATCTAGTTCTGTAATAAAACTATAAAAGCAGTAAATTTATTAAAATGAAGGACTTTCCCATCAGAATGTATTATTTTTAGCGGAAAATATAAAAAAGGTGACGATTTATTGGGTCTGTTTTTTGTCGAAAAGTGTTTAGTGTGGAAAAAGGTATTTGTTATATGATTAAAAATTACGGGATTAAAACAACAACCCTCTCAAACACATACATATATAGTATAAACAAAAGGATGGACGTGACATTGCATATTTATGTTGTATCATCCAAAAGATTAGTGGAAAAACACGCAGGCTTCACCTTATCCAAGATGTTGATATGAGCAGTTGATGAAGAATTCATGGGAAGACATATAGGACCAAAGATGTTATTGATATCAATTTCCTGATAATTAGCCCATAAAGTATACATGGCATCATTGCATTTAGCTGATAAGTTATAGCTCCAAAAATCACACTCTCTTTTGGCCAGCTCATACTCTTCATCTGATATTACTGCATGACTCCATGCATATTCTAAATAGCCTCTCTGGTCATAATAGTTGTCTGTTGATGGGTTCCCAACCTCCAAAGGTTTTTATTATATAGTTAATTAGCATTATTCTATACATTAACACTAAAAAACAATAATGGGATTGACACGAAATTTTGACAAGGATTCGTCAAAATACACAGGGGATGAGATTTGGCCATCCGTGCCAAATCTCTTTTGTCTCGAACAATTTGCATGGCATTGAACTGCCGATCAATCCGTGCAAAATTCATGTCAATCCGTTATTTTTTTGTCGTGTAAGAATAATATCATTGGCATATATGTACATTTGACAAAAAAAGGTGTTGATAATGTTATTGAAACGAAGGTTACATACTATGAAACCCTTGAGATTTATGAGCTGCCCGGGCGCTCCATTATACTGCATGTTTCGCTCCAAAAGAATATCAGCGAGTTGGGGGACGTAGTGACCTGTCATTTTCCAGAGACTACTATAACTATCTTTTTAATTGGATTGCAATTTTTTGGTCTGAATTATTTAAGTCTAGTTTGATTCGACCTGGTCGATGTAAGACTCATGTGATCTGGTAAGCGCCTAGTTTATTGTTTTTACTATCATGTAAGTTTCTTCTTGTATGGTCTTTCTGTTTAAGTTTGATTAGGTCTATTTAAGTGTGATTTGGTCTGCCACTAAAGCCAGTCTAATATATTGAAGGCATCTTAATTGTTAGTTGTGGTGGTTGGTTATTTTTTGTAGTGAGTATTACATAAGTCTGACCTCATTTGTTTTGATATATTTAAATTTAACCAATTCTGGTTCAGTACTCTAGTTTGAGTCACATAACTTCAAGTGAAAGCATAATTATAAAGTAACAAACACAACACAAACTATAACACAAACAAAATAAATGTACGCGTATAGGCATTATATGTATGTATATAACCTGCATAGCTCTCTCCTGCTATGAAGAAGTCATTCTTCTTGAACTGTGGGAATCTATATAGCCAATTAACTAGGAAGGTGTAGGAATCCTCAGCTAGCTTAGTCAAAGTAGAGTAGTTTGGTTACAAATAATACTAATAGTAGAAGTATTATTTACTGACCGTATAAAAACTAATTAAGGCAGTGGTCTTACCAACAGATTTGTCATCGAGTATTGTTGAATTAGAGAATGTATACGAGAATCCAACCCCGACCGGAGACTCCACAAACAACAAATTGGCTTCTGCATAATTTACAAAAAAGGATGACACCTCATTCCTGATAATTTACAAAGTTATTAATGGTGAGCAGGGGCGGACCCACTAAGGGTCCCATGGGGTCCCGGGACCCCGCGTACTTCCAAAAAATACTTATATATTTTATATATTTTATTTAAAATTTACTTATAAATGTATATATAACACAAAAACAAGTATAAATCCCAAAGAATGGAGCAGAGCAATGGAGGAAAGGCTTATAAAAAGCTTTATTTTTCGTGGAGGTGCAAGGATCGATTCCCTCTCACTCCTATTCCTCTTTTTTTTTTGATTTATTATTGTAAAAGATCACAACTACATCCTTTTGCCTTTTTTAAAAATCCTCAACTTTACACTTTACATAATTCAATTAATTATTAAAATTTCTATTATGATTTTCCATTATTAAGTGAAGAATTGAATAAAATAATTGGTTAATATGAAATTAATTTGACTGGCAATACACATGATCAACATGTTTATTTTGAATCTTTAGAAGCTTATCCTGGTTTGAGAAAAAAATTGTTGATTTGCATCCTAATGTTCAAGACGAGTTGCGGCATAGTAGGGACTATGAAACGTTGTACTACTTTAATATTTGGAATTTTATCAATTCAAAACTTGAAAGGTAAATGAATTATCAATCCGAGACCTGAAAGAAGAAATTTATGGATATAAGACTCAAATGATGAAAATTGTCAATTTAGGACTTGAATGATTGAAGACTATCAATCTCGGACCTATATTGTCATGAATTTTTATTATGTTTATGTTAAATTTTTTAAATATTATTTAGTTTTATTAAACTAATAAACATTTGTGGAAAAAAGTTTATCAAAAATTAGCAAAGGAATTAATAAAAAATAAATAAATGAAAATCTATGAAATCTTAGATCCTAGATTGATAATTTTCATCTTTCGGGTCCTATATTAATACATTTCATCTTTCGGGTACCGAATTTATAATTTATCTATCTATAAGGTTCTGAATTCATAAAAGTTCTTAATATTTTGATGATGTACATTAACTATGAAATGTTAAGCTACTTTAATATTATATACTTACATTTTTTTTTAAGTTTTTATTGGTTAGACTTATATTAAGGTAGGGACCCCGTGACTCCGATTTTCTGGGTCCGCCACTGATGGTGAGTCCTATGTTGCACGGAAACGTGAAAATCATGAGGAAACGGGAAACGGGAAACGTCAAATGTTGCCCAAAAAATGCTTGTTTGGAGAGTTTCCCTAGAGTTTTCGAAACGGAAACTTACTCCTTCCCAAGAGTTTCCGTGCTACGTAGATGGTGACTCTAGCTTCTACCTCACTCACCTTTAAAAATATTAATTATCTAGTGCAGGATTGATTAAATTCCGTTAATATATCGTCACGAGTACCAACTATGCAACAAATTAAAACAGAACTAATAACATTTTTTTCTTTTTCTCTACAAAAAATACCTCATCTTATGTAGCAAATATTTTGCTGTTATTCAAATTAAACCAATTCCATTTGGACCATGTGGTATATATCATGAAAAGAAGCTAGAGAAGAGCTCGTGAGAAAACTTAATTATAAAACACAAAATGAAAAAACATGGGTAGTAATACAATTCATAACCTCAAAGCTTGACTTTACATCCCATTTTTTGAAAAGTATAGGACTTTATATCTCATTTTCATGATCATTCTTCATTGTTTTTTCTGTCTTTACACTTCCATTTCTTCACATTTTTTTTGAAAACGGAGCGTAAATTTCAACATTGCCCAAAAATGGAATGCTAATTTAAATTCCTCCTTTATTTTATTTAATAAGGTATGAGACCACAAATGTATAATATTTTCATTACAAAAAAAAGTAACAAGGTGATCTATTGAAAAATATCATACTTCTTTGTTATGATATTTATGTTAAGGGGTAATTTGAGTTTGCACCTCATTTCATTGTTCAAATAAGACTTTTCACCCCGTTTTTAAAAATCTTTGTTTTTGCATCCCAACCCATATGAAAAGACAAAAATACCCTCGATCAAAAATATGTTGAAGACCATCAAAAATTGTTAGTGGAGGGGCAGTTTTGTCTTTTCGTATGTGGATGAGGTGCAAAACCAAAGTTTTTTAAAAACAAGGTATAAAGTCCAATTTATACAATAATATGGGGTGCAAAGTCAAATTATCCGTTATGTTAACTGATTTAATCTATTGAAACTTTGATTAGCCGACACTTAATAATTTGATGTTATGGAAAATGTACCTAAAAACTTCCGGACATCACATGTGCGTGAGTAGGCGGAGAAGAGACAGGGAAAGAAAAGAAGAATATTTTTTTATGACATTTTAAAAATGAAAGAGGAAGAAAGTGGGGAAGTTAATTTCTTAAGGTAAAAGTGTACAACATGAGGTTAAAACTTAAAAGTTAGGGTGAAAATGGGAAGGAAATGATTAATTAAAATAGGTTTACAGTATTAGGCTGAAGTACACTAAACAAATATATTGCTGCCTACTTTGAATTATTTATCACGGCCATTCAAAGTAGATTTGAGACCCTAAACGTTATCAATTGATCAGTTATGATGCATATATATCGTTCTATTAAAAGCTTTGTCTAAAATATTTATTTAGTTGACGATTTATGTATTATATTTTTAAAAAAATAAATTCCTTTGAAATAACTTCCACCAGTGCTTGTGAAAAATTTAACAAAAGAGTCCAGACCCTTTTACTACTTCTAATACATCACTTAAACTCTTCTACTGAACAGTATCATTGAAATACGCTTACTTTAAAAAATAGCCATTTAACCGGGTTTTAACTTGTAATAGTAGGTTTTTAAATTAATAAAAATCTAAAAAAAAAATTAAAATTCGAATAAATATAAACAAAATATCTGAACAATTTAAGAATGTCAAACTCAATTTTTCGCCTTTTTGTATTGTTTTTTAATTTTACATCTTTTTAAAAGTTTTTAGATTATTTATTTAATATTTTTTACATATTAATTATTTTTCATTTTTATGTTTTTTATTTCTTTGTTTAGGGTTTTAAAATTATTAATCTTTTTTTCTTTCATTTTAAGAATTTATATATTATTGTTACATTATTTTTTCAAGTTTATATGAATTTTCATAAAAATTATTAATTTTCATAAATTATTTTTCAAAAACTATCTGATATAGCAGGTCAAAATGACTCGAGTGACTGCGTTTTCAAAGTAAACTTACTCATATGAAACTTTTTTTTAGTACAAGGTTTCTTGTTACGGATTTGAAATTGTAGAAGAACTTATTTGCTCCATTTCCCTTGTTTAATCAAAGTACATAGCTTAAAATGGTTTTAATCGGACTGAAATTTCTTATTATGGTCTGGTTTGATATAATCTTATCTAGTCTAGTCTGATAAATGTCTGATCTCTATGTATTTTATAATTGTCGAAGTCTGGTCTAGTTTGATCTGGTCTATTCTAGTCTGGTCTAAACCGATCTGGCCTGATCTGGTCTACTCTAGTCTGGTGTAATCTGGTCTGATTTGTTCTAAAACTGAAATAAGTCCAAGTAAACACTTCCTAATTAATCATATTGATTTATTTTTAAATTAAATATTTTCCATTAAACTTTGATTTCACTTTAGACTATTATTATTTGAAGTTAATTGTAGTTATACTTTTAGCTACTAATACAATGGCATAATTACTGTGATTAAAAAATAATGAAGTTTTGATCTAAAACAATAAAATTATTTCTTAATATTAACTAAAAAAATCACAATAATTCATTTTATTAATATAGTTCTTAATGATTTTTAAAAACACATTACTTTTGCCTAAATAAATACTTAATTCCTTAAAAAAAATTAAAACAAAAGAAATGAAAATGACTAGACTCACTCCTCAATCCTCATAAATCAGGACCTCATATAATATATGGCAGCATGACATGAATTCCAACCAAACCATATCGAGTAAATTTCTAAAACAGGAAATATACATAAAGTTGGGATGAAAAGAAAAACCTTTATTCCAAGAATAATTGTTGAAGTCAAGACCAGCACCATTTTCCTTAACTCTAAGAGGACCCAATTCTGAAGCCGCTCCATATCCAATCGATGAGCAACCAGGTCCTTCACAATAACAAACGTAGCTTTTATCATTTTTAAAGCCTGGCCCTAACCAGTAGAAACTGGAAAAGATAGTATCCATATTATATATTCCAGAAAAATTATTTTGAAAAAGAAAAAAAAAACTTTTTCAAGAAAAAATAGTGTACATGTTTTCAGAAAAAGAATATAGTGTACATACAAGAAAGATTTACCAGACATTACCAGCTAGGAGTTTCTGATTATATTCCACCATTAAAAGTTGACTGATGTTAAATAAAAATCTCCTATGTTGATATTCATATAATTATAAATATATATAGGTGATTCAAATTTATATATCTAGAAACTGCATTAGAAATTATATTCAATAGCGAAATTAAAATCCAAATACAATAAAAGTTTGATGCAAAAAGATACGTAGTATATGAAACAAACAAATATTATGACAACAGAAATAAAACTGAAAATCATTTTGGGACAGAAATAAAAGAATATAAACTACGTAGTATATAATGTACCTCCATTCAGCCAGAGGACAAGAGGCTTGATGGAAGGTTGAGATTGAGCCTCAAAGAACCAGTAGAAAAGGGCCCTCCCATGAAACTCATTAACTGTGATGTAGCCAGAGTATTGGGTGATCAAAGGGCTGTTTGGCTGGCCAGGCAAATATTCTATCTTATCCGAATCCTGTGCTTCTGGAGATGATGAAGCTTCTGTGCATGATAAAATCCAGAAACAAAGAAAGCCAAAGAGATATAAAGTTGATGTCTTTGGATGAAGCGGGACCATCTTCATACTCTGTCTTCTTTGCAAGTTATCAGTGGGAATCTCCTTTCTTATATTGTGGATACGAGTTTTATCATAAACTTTAATAATTGCGCTCCATTTGTATAGAGTTATATATACTACCTCCTATAGTCCTATCTAATTAAAGTAAAAATAAAGAGTTTATATGATTGATATTGAATTACTAAAATAAAAATATAATAAAAATGATTTAAATGTACATTAATATTATCAAATTCAAAGTGAGACAATTTTTAAAATACCAACGACTTTCTTATTTTCTCTCTCTAGGGTTGTCGTCTCAGGCAACGTCTAGCTTGTTTTGTCCGGCGGTGTTCGCTCAGGCGAGTACGGTACCGAGAAGGTTGTTATTATTGGAAGAAGGAGTGGATTACAAGGAGGATTTTGACAAGGTTCTCGCAAAAGGTTAAAGCAACAGGTTTATATGGACAGCTTCGTGAAAAAATACAACGATTGGGGCAGAGGAAGAAGAACTAGATCTAAATGAAGCTGATGAGATGAAGCTGATGTTGAGATTGTGGCGGATAAGCGGCGAGCGCGTCCCCCTCTTGAGCCACCGCCATGGAGAGCAAGTAAATATAGGTTTGTAAGACGTTGATTTTGGATGTGGGTGACAACGGAATTGGGGTAACCGTTTTTGGCTCATTTGTGCCCATTAATGGATCAACGAGTTATATTGCTTTGGATGAGGTGATTAACTCTGAGTCTGGTTCGCGGGACAACGGTTGTGAGGATTCTATTTATCGGAATACCCATTATCTGAATGTTGGGATTTCAATTTAAGCCAAATTCTTTCAAAAAAAAAGTGAGACAATTTTAATGAAAGTATTGTAAAATGAAAAATGGAACAATTAATGAGGCTAGAGGGAATAATATAATAATAATGGAGGTGACCAATCAGCTTTTGGGATACTAGCTGAATATATTAGAGATATGATAGGTGATAGCTAATCAGACTAATCTAGGAGAGAGTTTGCGTCTGCTTCTACTTTAAAATAGTGATTTTTAAGTGATTTTGGAAAAAGTGTTTAATAGTAAAAGTTGGTAGTGTTTGAGAAAAAAGTGATTCTGAAAAAGTAAAAATTGATAGTGTTTGATAAAAAAGTGTTTTTCTGTAATAGAAAAAGTGAAAAGCAGTTTAAGGGAGTGTTTGCGATTGCTTCTACTTTAAAAAAGTGATTTTGGAAAAAGCGTTTAATAATAAAAGTTGGTATTATTTGAGAAAAATATGATTCTGAAAAAGTAAAAGTTGGTAGTGTCTGATAAAATAAGTGTTTTTGTGTAATAGAAAAAGTGAAAAGCAGTTTAAAGCACTCTCAGTCTGCTTTCAGCTTTTAGCTTTTAAATGATTGATTTAAGCAGAAGTTGTCACATAAAAATACCGATTTCAGCTTTTTCAAAGACAAAAGCTGAAAAGAGCTTTTTTTTTTAATTTTTCGCAAACACTCCTTAAAGCACCCCCAACCTACTTCCAACTTTTAGGTTTTTTAACCCTGGTAGGTAAACCACCAAAATTGGTGGGGTAAATGAAGGGAAACATTACCATTAATGATGGAGTATATGGATCTAGGCCCCAGGACCCACATACTCAGAAGAACATAAAGCATAGCCACTACGCGGTGCCCTCGTCGGCCAGAAGACCCTCGTCGGCCGAAGACCCTCGTCGGCCAAAAGAAGGACCAACTCAGAATATGATCCTGAAGCCAAGGATCCAGGGTGTCCTCGTCGGCCGTGCCCTCGTCGGCCGTGCCCTCGTCGGCCAAGACCCTCGTCGGCCACGGAAGTCTCACAGAACTGGATTTTACACTTATTCATTTGTATAGCCCATCAGTGGCTTTGTATTTGACCCAATAGCGGTCCAGTTGTAAATGGGCCTCCCAAGCCCAAGGCTTGGGAGCCCAACCCGTATTTTTCCTATAAATACTTCCTCTGGAAGTAGTTATGGGGGTTAAAAAAATCATTCTATTGAAGCATATCTTGCACTTCTCTCTCTAGCTCTCACTTCTCTCTAGAATATACTCTATCATTTGGTGCTCTCGTTGAGAGCTAGAACAATCAAGTTAGCACCCTTCGTCGCTACCAAGCGCAGCTAGCCACTGATCATGGGAAGAACTAAGTCAAACCGCAACCTCGTCAGCAAGTCCATCCCTGAGGACCAGGAGACCAGGGAGCACGAGGAGGATGCTACGGCCGACCAGGTCGGCGGAGGGGACGTCTTCCAGGAGGCCATCAACCTCACGACGGACCTCCACAACCAACTCAACGGCGGAGCCCCTGATGCCCGCATCGGCTTGGACAAGAAACGAGCTGAGAAGACAGACCACGCCCCGGCCCAACCTCTGACCGCGGCCTCTCCGTCTGTGGATCCGCAGGTCCAGGCCGCGCTGTCGGTCATCATCGCCAGCCTGGCCCAGAACCCCACCGTCCTCAGCGCACTCTTGCCAAGGACTGGGGGGAACGTCACTCCACCTCCTCAGCCCCAACTGTTGGCCGTCCAGATAGGCAACGATGAGGGGTGATGGCTCAGGACACGGCGTCGTCCCACTCCCACCCCGCTTCCCCTCTTCGGCCTGGGCAGACCCCAGCGCGTGGAAAAGCCTCTGCCTTCAATAGGCTAGGTGACACGCACCGTCGTCCGGTTTCGGAGAGGATGGCAGGGCGGATTGGTGAACGTCGGCCTGGCTCGCCAAGGGAAACCTTGGGGTCTGTGTCCCGGACAGCGGACCAGCCCCGCCTGGACAAAGGCAAGGGAAAATTTCACGAAGACGACGTGCGCCACCAGATCAATGCAGCCCACGACGAGCGCATGAAGAACCAGCGGGGCGCCGCTGCGGCCGCCAGGGACCCCCGGGACGAGGTCATCGCCCAGCTGGAAAGGAGGCTGGCTCAGATGGAGGCCAGGAAATCGACCAACATCCCCACGGCTGGCACCTCCAACGACCCTGGCCTCAACGCCCTCATGAACAAAGTCAGCGCCTTTGAGAGGGAGTTGGCCGAAGGGCGAGGTGACCCCGTCATCCAGGTCAGGACCAGGACCCCTTTCACCAACAGGGTGCTCTCGGCCCCCATCCCGGAGAAGTACATGGGGAACGTCATCAAGTCCTACGATGGCCGATCAGACCCCCAGGAGCACTTCATCCGTTATCAGAACAACATGCTGATGGTGAACGCGTCGGATGAATATCTCTGTCGTTGTTTCCTCTCTACTCTTGAGGGACCAGAGTATGAGTGGTTCAACGCGCTCCCCGAAGGAAGTATTGACTCATGGCAGGACCTTGCCCAACGCTTCCTCATCCACTTTGCCAGGAGGAAGCGCGTGAAGAAGTATTTCACCCATCTCCTCTCCGTCAAGCAGCAACATGATGAGTCCCTCCGGTCGTTCATTGATCGGTGGACGAGGGAGACCGAGGAAGTCGAGGGAGCCGATGAGCGCACCCTCCTCGTCCTGTACCAGGGAGCCCTCCGCAGCTCCCGTACGCCAGGAGCCTCATCACCGATCCTCCAAGGTCGTACGCAAAGGCGCTCCAGCGCGGGAGCTTGTACGCTGACGCCGACGAGCTCCACAACCACAAGAAGGAGGGAGGCCATCCCTCCAAGAAGACAAATCCTTCGCCGGCCCCGGGACCATCCCCGGTCGGCCAGGGTGCCCAGGGCCGTCACGGCTCTGGTGGACAAAGCAAGAAAGACCGCCACTGGCGGCCGAGGTTGGAACGGCCGGGGGTCCCCTTCACCCACCCGGTCAGCACCATCCCCGACTACGCCGAGAAGCATGGCCTCATTGAGTAGGCTCCTCGGCCGGCCGAGGAGGTCCTTGCCATCCAGCAGGGAGGCACATACTGCCGATTTCACAAGAACTCCTCGCACAACACTGACGACTGCATCACGCTAAAGAAAGCCATCGAGCGCCTTATTCGTCAGGGGGAACTCTCCCAATTTGTTAAAGGTGGCCCACGCAAAAATACGTGGGTAAACACCGGCAAACATGGGGGTGAACCCTCTACGAAGAAGCGGGAGATCGGCAGGCTCAACGACGACGAGGACTTCGAGGAGCCTCCACCAAAGAAGAACCACATTCACCTCATTGTAGGTGGGAACACCGGGGGGGGGGGGACTCCGTCACCCAGAAGAAGAAATGGGCCCAATCCCTCTACATTGGGGAGGTGTCCCACGTTCCCCCCCCCCCCAGCCGAAGAAACAGCGAACGGAGGCGATCACCTTCACCGACAAGGATCTGCCTCCGGGTACGGAATCACATAGGGATGCCCTCGTCATCCGGTGTGAGATCAGTGACTCCATCATCCACCGCACTTAAATCGATACGGGGAATCCGTCAACGTGATGTACCTGGACACCTTCAGGCAGCTGAAGCTGGACAAAGCTCTGCTGAAGCCGATCAAGACACCGTTATCCGGCTTCACCGGGGACTCTATCGATGCCGAGGGCACGATAGTCCTCCCCATGGAGGTCGGTGACGGCCCCCACCGCGCCAAATTTGACATGGAGTTCATGGTGGTCAACCTCCAGTGCGCCCACAACCTGATTTTGGGGCGGTCAGCACTGGAGGACCTGGAGGCCATCATCTCCATGAAGCACTTGTGCCTGAAATTCCCCACCAATGGCGGCATCGGCTACGCCAGAGGAAACCAGAGGATAGCCAGAGCATGCTACCTCAAGCTAAGGAGGCCGGCCGACAGGGAAGGACAGAGGATAGACACCATCACGGCAGCCGTTGCCAAGGATGAGGAGAGGCCGCATGCAGAACCGGCCGAGGAGGTCGAGGAAGTCCCTCTGGATGCCTCCCAGCCGGAGCGGGTCCTCAGAATCGGGAAGCAACTCCCACAGGACCAGCGAGACGGCATCCTCCTCGTCCTACGGTCATACGCCGTTATCTTCGCGTGGGGCCCGGACGACATGCTAGGCATCAGTCGGCAGGTAATCACTCACCGGCTGACCGTCGATCCAGCCTCCGCGCCTGTCAAGCAGAAGCGGCGCTACTTATCCGCCGACAGGCGGGACTTCGTCAAAGGGGAGGTCGACATGCTCCTCTCAATCAACCACATCAAAGAAGTGAAGTACCCAACG